CGGTGTATTTTTAGTTTGAAGATCGTAGTTACTAAATGTTTTGATGTATTCATCAATTACAGTAGGTACATTGAAATAGTTACTTTGTAAACAAATATAAGGAGCTAACATGTTGAAAACACAATAATAAATTAATCAATGTAATCAAACTTGAATACGAATATACTATACATAAACAGTCAGTCTTCTTAGATCTTAGTGCTATGATGTAAAATAAGAGGCCCATGCTATACTGCTAAATATTCCTAAAGAACTTACCTATACTCGTAACATTTTGCTCCCGATTACTCTGCGTTGATTGATTGTTTGAGTTGTAATAGAACGCCTGACAGGCGAACAAGCCAGCATCTGAACACACAGCATCTTTGACAACAATTTCTATCTGCATTGTGTTCCTGTTGTTTGGTCTCTCCGATGTTTCTCGCAAACTGCCGTTGAATTTAAAATTCCAGATTCTCGCTGGTGAGGTATCGGGCGGATACTAGAAATAAATGTTCAAATATAATTATCTATAATTACAGAGCAATAAGAAAATAATGTTCATCAAAATTAGTGCATGAGGAGACTTGAGTATATTTTTTGCCTCAGAATTAATAGCTTTGTTGATACATAAAACTCTCCAATAATAATATTCTTAGTTGTTTAAAAGGTTTCGTACTGTAACGTTTAATACCTTCAGCTTTTCATAATTTTCAAAGTTTACATTATTATTTTCATAATAATTACTATTATTCACACACAAAAAAAATCCAATTTTTTTATCACAACTTTTCTAAAATTTAATTCTATAAGCAATACAACGTTTAAACACTATCATTAAAGGAAAGTAAAAAAAATATTAAAAGTGCAATCTTAAAAAGTATATTATATTTTAGTATATTACATAAGCTATATATTATTAAATTTTAATATTGATTTATAACACCATGTTATTAAATGATCGCAAATAGAATATTAGGCTTTGCTTACTTATCCAGTAACATACTATACAGGTCAACAAATCATGTTGAAATTTATCTCAAAACATATTGGAAAAGCTATAAGACGATCTACACAAAAAACCAACATTGCTAACGCTGAATTACATTTTACTGACTTAAAGAAAATCCTTACTGTAATAATGTAGGGTAGACGCAAGCTATATTGAGCTTGAGTAGCGTATATTGTCCCATCTGTCCAAAATATAATCAACTCCCTAACTGTTGTAGCATTGGCTGGTACACCAGCACGTGACGCGTCACATGTCACAGTAAAAGTTTCTCCTGTCTCAATCACACCTGGGCTGACGATTGTCTGGCTGTTTACTAAAGGGAAAGTACCTACGTTTGTAAGTTTGTTTACTGATAATAAGTTAACTACATTTATATCTGTATCTGTTTATTGATGTCGAATTAACTATGTTCATAAATGCGTCGTACTGTTTACTTATTTGAAATTAAATTTAAAAATTAAAAAAAAAATATATATAACTGCCACAATTAATTTACATAATGCTCCTTTTAAAAAATCTTCTGATTCCAATTACGAAGCGTATCGTTAAGGTATATTTAACTAATTTAATAGCAAAAAGTATAAAATTAATTATAAAAATACCTTGTGCTATGCAGCTAATCAAGAAAAATACTCTCAGCATAATGACGATTGCCTTGCTTGACCCAGACAAAAGAAAAAAACTAAAATATGTTATATCGGGCCCCACAACTTGCTTTATACCCGTGGTTTGATGAAACTCTCAGTTTCAAGTGACGGTAATATCATGAACAGGCATAAATCAGGTGTATTAACTTAGGTATTTTAAAAACTGTTTGACGAGTTTTAGGGTATTGAATCTTGAGCCCACAACAAGACGACAGTCGTGAGCCATTAAATAATGTTTACGCTGCCACCAGCCCCAGAAGGTGTGAATCTGTTGTCTGACACAGGGGCGTGGACACTGACGCAGGGGCGTGGTCTCTGACGCAGGGGCGTGGTCTCTGACACATGGGCGTGGTCTCTCTGACAGAGGGGCGTGGTCTCTGACACATAGGCGTGGTCTCTCTGACACAGGGGCGTGGTCTCTGACACAGGGGCGTGGTCTCTGACACATGGGCGTGGTCTCTCTGACAGAGGGGCGTGGTCTCTGACACATAGGCGTGGTCTCTCTGACACAGGGGCGTGGTCTCTCTGACACAGGGGCGTGGTCTCTGACACAGTGGCGTGGTCTCTCACACAGGGGCGTGATCTCTCTCTGACACAGGGGCGTGGTCTCTGACACTGTGGCGTGGTCTTTGACACAGGGTCGTGGTCTCTCATACAGGGGTGTGGTCTCTGACACAGGGGTGTGGTCTCTGACACAGGGGTGTGGTCTCTGACACTGTGGCGTGGTCTTTGACACAGGGTCGTGGTCTCTCATACAGGGGTGTGGTCTCTGACACAGGGGCGTGGACACTGACACAGGGGCTTGGCTGGTGCAGTGAGCGAGCTACTCTCCTTTCAACATCTTCATGCCATCATCGTTATTCTTTCATCTGGGATGTTGAAACAAGCTAAACCACACATAAGGATTTAATCTATATATATAATTCTCTTCTGGGAGCCATTAGAAAACAAGCTGCAAGCGCACCTTTGCAGTCCCCTCTCTTCCTCTCTATCACTATCACTACCACCCCCACCCCACCCCCACATGATCTGGTGAGCTGTGGTTCACTCTAAATGTTTACAAATCGTAGAGCCGGGTTTGTTGACGGCTATTAGGGGCAGATAATTTAGTTTGAAACGATTTTAAACTTAAAGGAGGTAACTAAGAGGAGGCTGCTTTCACGGGGGGGGGGGGGGGTGTAGGGTAGGGGTTGGGGGAAAGGGGGGGGGTAGTGTTTTAAAGCAAATATTTTCAGTGGCAGCATTGGTACTGTCGAATTCACAAATTATGAATTACTGAAAAGTAGAAAATAAAAAAACTAAATAGCGGCGTATGATACGCCGCGGGTCGGCTCGTAATAAATATTTTTAAAAATTACATGGAGATTAAAAGCGCTGTCAACAAATCTATTTGAAACGGTCGCTATGTAGTAAGATATATGATTAAAACGTTCTGAATTTAGCATAGTTGCATGTAGTTATTGTTGGTGATGTAGAGTGTTGTAATATATGCATAGGTTTTCCCTCTCTGGGTAATAATCACCCGCTTACTGCAAGTCATATCTGGTTACAGCTACTTGTCGGCCACCTGTGATGTCGGCCACTTTTGGTGTCGGCCACTTGTGGTGTCGGCCACCTGTGATGTCGGCCACTTTTGATGTCGGCCACTTGTGGTGTCGGCCATTTGTGGTGTCGGCCAATTGTGATGTCGGCCACTTGTGGTGTCGTCCACTTTAGGTGTCGGCCACTTTTGGTGTCGGCCACTTGTGGTGTCGGCCATTTGTGGTGTCGGCCAATTGTGATGTCAGCCACTTGTGGTGTCGTCCACTTTAGGTGTCGGCCACTTTTGGTGTCGGCCACTTTTAGTGTCGGCCAATTGTGATGTCGGCCACCTGTGGTGTCGGCCACTTTTGGTGTCGGCCAATTGTGATGTCGGCCACCTGTGGTGTCGGCCACTTTTGGTGTCGGCCAATTGTGGTATCGGCTACCAGTGGTGTCGGCCACTTTTGGTGTCGGCCAATTGTGGTGTCGGCCAATTATGATGTCGGCCACTTTTGGTGCCGGCCACCTGTGGTATCGGCTACCAGTGGTGTCGGCCACTTTTGGTGTCGGCCAATTGTGGTGTCGGCCAATTATGATGTCGGCCACTTTTGGTGCCGGCCACCTGTGATGTCGGCTACCTGTGGTGTCGGCCACTTTTGGTGTCGGCCAATTGTGGTGTCGGCCAATTATGATGTCGGCCACTTTTGATGCCGGCCACCTGTGATGTCGGCCACTTTTGATGTCGGCCACTTTTGGTGTCGGCCACTTTTGATGTCGGCCACTTTTGGTGTCGGCCACTTTTGGTGTCTTTTTGGAGGTGCCAATGTCGTGCATCAATAGGTAGTCATTATGTTTTCTTACCCAATTCATACGTGAAAAGTAAATTTGAAGTAGGTATCACAATGCTCTAATTTACTAATTTAAAAATAAAATAACTGCTGTTATTTAATACTGTCCTTATTAATTTAAACTATATTTTTTAAAATACCGAACACTCGTTTTATAAAGTAAATTTGTTTTTCTGTTAGCGACTGCGTAATAGTTTGAAATTTTAGAAGCATTTTTACTGAAACTTATTTACACGTATAGTAGCGCCCCTGAAAACCAACATTCCTAAAATAAGAGCCAAACACAACCAGGATCTGACCACAAACTTTATTATTTATGTTTTGTAGTGTGTCTACTACTCTTTACGACACGCCATTCAGTTGAGTTGAAGTACGCTCTTACCTATACAAAGATTCGATTTATGGTAATTTTGCATACCTCTGCTATCACTGAATATTAAATTATTGATTATGTTAATTTGTCGACCTACTCCCTAATTCTAAGCAAATGTAACCAAAGACTACTATAATCTATAAAAAGATACAAACATCTGTAACAGAATCATTGTTTTTTGAAAATTATAAAATTTTAACTATAGTAATGTGAGAAAAACACTTAACATAAACAGATCAATAAAATTGACGAGCTTAGGTCAACAGTCGCCCTGTCTAATCAAAGTTTAGTGTTACTAGTTTTAAAACAAAAATTCACAATATTTGGGGTACACTATAAGTTATTCAGTTTTGTTTTATATTATGTTAATTTATACATTTATTTGAAGCTGTAAATTCCATCGTACGGTAAACCAAGTAAATATAAATAATTAATAATCTAACTATCTTAAAAATTAACAAATAAATCGAGTGTTTAACACATTTTTAAAAATCACATGGTGGAGAAAAATGACTTAAAGCTTTTTAAAATGTTCTAATGTCAAGAAAAATTAAATGAAAAACTCACAACTAACAGGATAAAGAAAAGGATAAGAAATAAAAGATTTTAGCCTGCTTAAGTAAAACAAATGTTACATACTTTTTTTTTGTTCTAAATAAATTGTCGTTTTATCCTTAGGTGTACAATGTGTATAACAAAGCAATAAAAAGTTTTGCATACATTTATTTATTCAAAATGTATTATGCATATACATAATAAATGGTCCTACATTATAGAATAATTGTAAATCTTTAACACAAATCTGGATGTATTATATTTCTCGCCAATTTTGTTACAAAAATATAATTTAAGATATATAAAAAAAGTGCTACGTGACGCAGAATTTCACGATTTTACTGAATATCTCACAGAAGTTGTTGTAACACAATTGTGTTATTATATCACTTTTGTTTTGCAGGAGGACTTTCAGGGACTAGAGATAAAATACAACAGAAATATATGTCAATAACATACAGACGATGAGAAAACCGGTTTACAAAAGTAGATTTTCATTATATGTCATTATCATATGTATGTATCTATTTGTGTCTACTCATTCCTATTATTTAATTTTGTCAACAATACATTTCAAATGTAAGGCCTGGGTATGCGGTAGAGCATACGTCTGCTAAACTGACAGTCTTGTGGCCTACGATTCAGTCGGTAGGATAACCCTTAGTCCACCCAGCCCTGACGGTACCTGAACTACGCTCGAGAAAGTAAAGGCGGCGGGGCATAGAGCTTACCCCACTATTCCTTCATATGCCGAGGTTACAGAACACATCTGCCTATGGCAGGGTTCGGCAACCTGCGGCTCGCGAGCTGCATGCGGCTCTTTTGATATCAAGATGAGGTTCTCCAGCTCCTTGCACAAATATTAATAATCTTAATCAAATAAAATATTTGAAATTAAAAAAAAAATGTTAGTGGCTCTTTAAAACCATGGAAATTTTTAAAATTGTAATTTTTGGCTCTTCCGCTTCAAAAGGTTGCCGACCCCTGGCCTATGGACTTCTAAAAAGGGTAACTTACGTTTATTTTGACAGTGCAAGAGAAATGAGGTATATCGGGGAAATTTTTAGTAAACAACTGAAGTTATTTTCTGTCGTAAACAAGTGTGTTGACGGCAATATATTATTATCTGAACTATCCGTGGCCTTTCATTGGTTTATTAACGGCGGTATTAATGTTCAGATTAGTCAAGAATATAATAATGTAGTTGACCCTAGATCGTAAGTAAATATTCAGAAGCGGGACGTAAAACCTAAATTTTCTTGGAGATACAGTAACAAAAAGTGATTGCTTTACCACCAAATTAAAATAAATTGTTTTATTAAAAACGTCAAAGACCCTGAAAGTTTGAAAGTATTTACAGTTAACCAGCGTCTTCAAGCTTTCATGGCCGTCATGAATTATTTTTTTGAAAAATGACGACAGAGTGGAACTATGTATCACTACTGAGTTGAGCTCAACACTGCACATAATATCACGACAAAGATGTAAACAATTGCTGGTCTAATGTCCAATCACACATTGTGATTGCAGAAAATACTTTAATTGGCTACTAGAATTTAACCAACCACGAGATGTGGACGTCTGTTGACTTATGAGATGAAGCTCGAGTGACAGACGGTAACCAGTTAAAAACAAAACTTTCCCCAAATCAATGTTTGTACACGTGTCTGTTGATATGCTATCTAAGGAGCTGGTGTAATTGAAATGAGGTTTTCATTAACAATTATACAAATTGAAAAATCACAGTTCGATACGATAGTTTTGTAAGATTACCACTCTCGTCATTTTCAAAGTGTTATTTTCGCAGATTGCAAATTTATTTTCTAAACAATCTTAACTATGATAACTGAGCATAATAAAATACAAATAATTATTTTCTCAAGTAACTCTTTATTAAATGACTTAGTTAATTACATATTTCTAAAATAATAACGCATTGTATCAGATGACACAGTCGACTATACAATAACAGAAAAAAATATCTTTAAAAAAATATTTAAATATATATTTGTCACCCACATGTTCTATATCATGTAGGCGTGTAATCGTTGTTTGATGCACACATGCTTATACTCATGCATTTACAAATATGTCTTCTTTTTGAAAGGTCTGACTGCAATGGTTTAGAAATTTTATACATTTACTGAAAAATTAACCATAATTACCGTGTATGGTGTGTATCGTCATATTCCCAACAATTGTGTCTTCATTGTTTTCTGTAGCCACACACACATACATGTAGCCATCATACATGTCTTCTGTTTGAAACTTCAGTGTTGACGTATGATGGTACAGGACACAGGTTGTCCCAGAACTGACCAGCACAGGTTCAGCAACTGATATAGCGTTTTGTACAGGATATGACGTGAAACTGTAGACGTCATAACTGGAAGGGCCATACTTCCAGGTGAAGATTAAAGCTTTTGGACCCTGATAAAAATTAAAAATGAATAAAACTGTAGCAACATATGTATTGGTCAGTTTATGTATTTGTGTGTGTCGGCAAAGGCTATGGTTAAAAACAAACAATATCAAACTTACATTAACGTTACACGTCAAAGTAACATTAGACCCTGCAGGATTGACTGACTGGTATGGACCCAGTCCCTCTTCGTACTGGGGAACTAACATCAGGGACAGAGGTACTGCTCGGGCTGTATTGTTTGAAAATAACATCAATAGACAATGGAATTAGAAGTTGGTGCAGGACTTCTTAGGCTTAAAAAAGAAGAAAAATCTAACATTCTCATTAATAAATTTAGCAACAATAAATTTATATCGTATTTAAGAAAAATATTAAAATTTGTTTTAAGTACAAATGAGATACATGTTACGTTATAAAACAATTTAATGTGATTCGATTGAAAAGTATACATGTAAAGACGCTAGACTAGACTATAGTGTTTGTGTAATACACTGATTCAACGTGCCTCTACTTGTGACATTTTGATAGCTGCTTGCTGGCGTTTCATCATCGTTTTCATTTAGGTACGTCGCGTTACAGAAATACGAGCCAGCATCTGAGCAATTAGCATCATTGACCACAATTTCTATTTTAATCGTGTTCCTGTTAATTGGTCTATCAGATGTTGCGGATAGGCTACCAGTGAATTGAAAGCTCCAGTTTCTTGCAGGTGAAGTTATTGGTGGTAGCTACGGATAAAGTTACAGAATCTTAAAAATGGAGTACAATACGATATTAAACAATTTAATACACGTAGGCCTAAATCTGTTTAATAAGTACTATATATATATATATATATATATATATATATATATATATATATATATATATATATATAAGGGGGAGGTGTACAGGGAATATATATTTATAGAAAAAAACTCACCCGAGACTGATAAGGAGGTGGGTACAATCTGTTTCTTGCCAAAGTTTTTGGCCGTGTCCCCCCATATGACGACGCAATAGCCAAAGATACAATAGTTGTAGCGGTTGTTGGAACACCAGCACGTGACGCGTCACATGTCACAGTAAAAGTTCCTCCCTCCACTATGACACTGGGACTGACTAAATTACCTTTAGTGGTTTGACTAACGACTGGACAAATAGTGTTTTTATTAGAATGTACCTCCACAATAAAGATTAGTGTCAAATTCAATAGACTTATTATTAATTATATTCTAGCGTGCCCGTCCTCGCGTGTTGCCGCGGGGTTAGAAGAAAGCCTGACGAAATATTTCAAGAGGGTTTAATCAATGCGTAACTAATATTATATTCTTAGACTTGTGATGTTGTTTTCTAAAATTAAGAGCACGCTACAATATTAGACATTCGATGATTAAACTAAGAAAGGGCCGTACGCGGCGCCGATTCGGTAGTGTAACACGGGCCTCTGACACTTAGGCGGTCGAGAAAGTGTGTTCTACCTCAATATTACTGAGGGTGATTACATGCCAGGCTTTTGTAATGCACGCTCTGGGGCGTTTGAGAGGTAGCTTTAACAAACCCGCGCCCTAACAACATTGATTTAAGAACTATAACGCATGCTTTGTTTTACTTTAAATATCTTAGTTTTCGAAAACAAGACCACGCGTCTCAAAATACACGATTGTTAATTATATATATATATATATATGGTATATATATATATATATATATATATATATATATATATATATATATATATATATATATATATATATGTATATATATGAATATATATGAATATATATATATATATATATATATATATATATATATATATATATATATATATATATATATATATATATATATATATATATATATATATATATATATATATATGTATATCGAGAGAGAGAGACGAGATAGAAATAGAAAGAGATAATATGATAGAGAACACACGAAAACACTATAAAACTAAAGCAACTAGCCTGTCGACCTAGATCCACATATCAGCAACACAGCTAAGCCGAACAAAGCGTTGCTTGCCATTGTAAGCTTTGTTTTGAGCAGGGACTAGAGAATGATATCCTAACTGTCGAGCGTGTAGAAGCATACAGGTAAATAAAGCAGGTAGGCCTAAATCGCTTGAACAAAACAAGTTCTGGTTTTACAAGATTACAGTGCAGTGAAGGGACGTAACTTGAGGAGTGGATTGTTAAGGGCTATTTCGCTTGTCGGGTTGGGGGGGGGGGGGGGGAGGTTGTTGGAGGACTTATGCGTGCTCAATAAGTGACTCGTGTTTTTTCTTTTCAATTACAAGCTTATATTTAGTTCGAAATGTCTGTTTGTTTGTGGGTTTGTGGCGAATATTGTAACTCAGTTTTGACCCATTTCTAGTACAGCGATTTCGTTAAAACTTTTCAGTCTATCTATTTTTAATTTAATTAGATATTTCATTAGTTATTAAAATTAATTAAACAAGTTCGAAACTAAGGGGGGATAACACAATTAAATCACTCGATAGATTATTTTATTTCATGACAGAAATGGGGATAACTAGCTAGACGCTATCACCCGACCAGTCTGGTGAGCTGTGATTCACGTGAATGTTTATAATCGTAGAGCCGGTTGATCAAGTGAAGGTTATTAGGGGCAGATAATAGAGTTTTAATCAGAAAATAAGCGGAGGTAAGAAGCTCAGTTTGCTGTCGTCTGTAAACCTGTCATCATGGACGGCTGCTTTCATGGCGTGGGGGAGGGGGGAGGAGAACGAACTGTTGACGTCAGAGCTAGAAGCGCCGCACTAGAAGATAGCAGTGTAAAAAATTAAACAAATCTTGTAATTAACCCGTGTAAAACTTTATAACGTGTCGTGTTAAACAGGGAATTGGCTCTCAAAAAATAACTCCACAAAATGTAAATAAATTTGTAAATATTTTTGTATAATATATTATATCCTTTTACAGTTTCAAGCCTATTTAAGCAGTGTTTCTTCAAGACTTTTTTCTCCGGGGTGGGGGGGGGGGGGGCGGACACTGTTAAAAGTATATATTTTCTATATAAATTTCTTTCTACTGGGGGGGGGGGGGGGGTGGGCGGTAGACTTTTTCGCCCCCCCCCCCCCCCCCCCCCCGAAGAGATGCCTGGAAGAAACTCTGTAATGAAGATGAGAAGAATCGTTGTTTTGTTGTCGTATTTAATTTATAGGAATGTATCTATGTAATTATATATTATATTATATATATTATATATATATATATATATATATATATATATATATATATATATATATATATATGCATCTCAATAGCTAGGGACACTAACCGCTCTAAGAGAGAAAACACAAGTGGATCCCCTTATGATTAACAATGCTGTTTTTTTGGCAGCTTCTGCAACCTCGGATAGTACCAAACATGATGTTGGATATTCTTTTGAACTACACGGCAATGGCTGAGAGAAGGATCATACACGGGCAAACTACTATCTGGTCAACTAATGCTCTTGTAAAGGCAATAGAATTCTACAAATGGAAAGCATTTAATTGTAACAAGCTAAACATTTAACGCTCGTTACTGTGGTAAAACATTACCAAAGTGTAGGCCTACATGTTTTGTAAACAAAACTTTCTATTTATATCTTGGTTAAATATAACCTATTGTTAGAACACAGCTTGACGTTTATGTTGTGTTAAATCACATCCTGGTTGACAACAATTCTAATGACGCATTCACAAAATTTTCACAAGTCAACATTCTTAATTTATTTAATCTAATATTTAATAACAACGTAAAAAGTAAGGGGGGGGGGGGGGACTTTTTTCTTTTTTCTAGTTCCGCCACTGAGTATCATACAGTAAATATACTGTTTTAAACATTTGTAATGCTTCTCTTGCATGCATTCTACGAATAACATGCTCCGCTCTATGACTATTATTTTAAAAAACACATTTGTCAACTGATAACAACAGTAGCTCCTTGATGACTTTCTCAATTCACAGACATTTGTTGTCAGGGAACGTAACCCATTTTAAATATAACGTCTGTAAATCATTTGTTACCGCCTCTTGCTTCTTTATCTCTTCAGAACGTCCCCGTTTAAAATAAAGATCAATGGATGATTCTTTTTATAAATGTATTAAAATTTTATGTAATAATGGACTATACGGTGATATAAATGATTTTCTTTAAATAAACTACTATTTAAATAACTATAAAGAAAAACGGGGGTCACTATGTTATCTATTTGATACCTTAAATAATATTTAGGAAGAGACTAACGCTTTTCTATGAAGACGTGACGACAGAGTAAGTTAAATAAAAGCTGGTAACAAGCTGAATTATTGTACCTCGGTGATACTAAAAATGTTGATTACTGTCAAAATAAGGTTTGTGCTTGCGGCGTTTTCAGCGCTAACAACAAAATGTTTGGTCAAAATAATACCGAGCATTTTATGGAAATACTCTGTTTTGCCTCGATAAAGAAACAATTCATCCGAGGCTAGGTGGGTGATGTTTCAAATTTCATACCCGGTGGTTCCAAAGTAATTATTGCATTCTCCTTGTGATATATATATTTAATTATTTATTTTATTACTCTGAACCTATTTTCAGCTAAATCATGTGATCGCTGTTTCATTGTATAACTTCCATGCTACTTTCTCGAATATTCTTATATAACACTACGGGGGATGGCAACTCGGGATATAGACATTACTGTTAATCCTTTTTTAATTACTTAAACTTTTTAAAATAGAATAAAATCTCGTACAAAAAAGAATTGCACAACAAGTGAACGCCAAACAAAATGTGTATAAAAGTGCGGAATATCATTAATACTTTATAAATTCACATGCGTTTTTTGAGAAATCGGAAATAGCGCAAATTACAACTTCCGTTCAACAGAAATGACTGAAAAATTAATAGAAGACAGAAAATTATATCTTTTACTTGTATGTGAAAATTCATTTATCTATCTGAAACACTACTTAAGTTATAGGCTTTTGAAAAATTGAAAGTAGAAAAAGTTCCACTTTCGGTCACCGGAAATGCTGAAAAGTTGATACGAATATACAAATTTGATATTATACTTATATATAATTTCATCAACCTAGCTGTAACGATACTCAAATTATCGAGTTTACACACACACACACACACACACACATACGGACAAGATTGCAAAACTATGTTTTTCCGACTCAGAGTGATGTAAAACGTCGAGATTTCTAAAAAATCTCGATTTTGTTTTTGCACGATAACAATACTTTCTCTAAACTTCGTATACGAGAAAGTAAAAACTGATAGATTACAATAAACAATTTATAATTGAAAGTTTTATTTTTCTCGCAATGTACGCAGGTGGTGTGTGTTTTATGGCACAATTTCTACTTTTTTTCACCTACTTCTAACGCAGTGATTTCAATATACTTCCAAGATACATTCGTCTTTCTATGATAACGCAAAATTATGTATTGTTTAATTCAAATTAGATATTGAACTAGTCATGAACTTTAATCAAATGATTTTCAAACTAAACGGATACAAAAAGAGATTAAATATTAGCGATAGCTTGATCAGCTAGCCTTTGATGGTGATCTGTTTGTTACGGTTGGTTGACTTGCTCTCTTTCGAGTTGGTGTTTGCCACACCATTCGAGGCCCACTGAAGTTGCTCAAAGAACAGTGGACGACGTCAACGCCCCACAACGGCACTATACTGAAATATGTGTCAAACCTGAGGTCCCGACTCAAGAGTGCCTGGGAATCCTCCAAGAAGTTCCTGACATCGCACCAGAAAAGTATAAAGGAGTACTACGACCAGAAGGCCAAGTGACGCACCTTTGTAACGGGTCAAGAAGTGTTGGTTCTTTTCCCCAACAGAGGGCACAATCTAACATGCAGGTACAGAGGACCTTACACCATCAAGTCAAAGGTAGGCCAGCTTAACTACGTTGTTACTACTCCCACCATCAAGTCAAAGGTAGGCCAACTTAACTACGTTGTTACTACTCCCACCATCAAGTCAAAGGTAGGCCAACTTAACTACGTTGTTACTACTCCAACCATCAAGTCAAAGGTAGGCCAACTTAACTACGTTGTTACTACTCCCACCATCAAGTCAAAGGTAGGCCAACTTAACTACGTTGTTACTACTCCCACCATCAAGTCAAAGGTAGGCCAACTTAACTACGTTGTTACTACTCCCACCATCAAGTCAAAGATAGGCCAACTTAACTACGTTGTTACTAGTCCCACCATCAAGTCAAAGGTAGGCCAACTTAACTACGTTGTTACTACTCCAACCATCAAGTCAAAGGTAGGCCAACTTAACTACGTTGTTACTACTCCCACCATCAAGTCAAAGGTAGGCCAGCTTAACTACGTTGTTACTACTCCTGACAGGAAGTCAAAGGTAGGCCAACTTAACTACGTTGTTACTACTCCCACCATCAAGTCAAAGATAGGCCAACTTAACTACGTTGTTACTACTCCCACCATCAAGTCAAAGGTAGGCCAACTTAACTACGTTGTTACTACTCCCACCATCAAGTCAAAGATAGGCCAACTTTACTACGTTGTTACTACTCCCACCATCAAGTCAAAGGTAGGCCAACTTAACTACGTTGTTACTACTCCCACCATCAAGTCAAAGGTAGGCCAACTTAACTACGTTGTTACTACTCCTGACAGGAAGTCAAAGGTAGGCCAACTTAACTACGTTGTTACTACTCCTGACAGGAAGTCAAAGGTAGGCCAACTTAACTACGTTGTTACTACTCCCACCATCAAGTCAAAGGTAGGCCAACTTAACTACGTTGTTACTACTCCCACCATCAAGTCAAAGATAGGCCAACTTAACTACGTTGTTACTACTCCCACCATTAAGTCAAAGGTAGGCCAACTTAACTACGTTGTTACTACTCCCACCATCAAGTCAAAGGTAGGCCAACTTAATTACGTTGTTACTACTCCCACCATCAAGTCAAAGGTAGGCCAACTTAACTACGTTGTTACTACTCCCACCATCAAGTCAAAGGTAGGCCAACTTAACTACGTTGTTACTACTCCCACCATCAAGTCAAAGGTAGGCCAACTTAATTACGTTAAGGAAGAAGACAGAGCA